GGGGGCTCCCGTAGCCCGGTCCCCCTTGGTGCCGCACAAGGGCGATGTGAAGTGGAGGCCCCACAAAAAACGAGCAGCGCATCCGTGCTTCATGCCAAGCTGGCATCGTCAAGTACCCGCGTGAGCAGAACGCAGGCGGAAGAGCAGTGTGCCAAAGCGATCGAGCAGACTATGGCCGACCTGGGGAAAATCGAGGAAGCTATCGCCGGTGCTCCTAATACGAAAAAGGACATTAAAGACTCGGCCAGAAGCCTGAGCATCTCCATCAGGGCAATGATGAAGCTCTTGCTCGCCCTAGACAAAGTCCCGCCCTCTGCCCGCGATCAAGTAAAAACCCAACAAGAGCAGCTCCAGAAACAGCAGCAACACATGCAGCAACAACAGCTGGAGATCAGGCAGCAACACAGGCAGACCCAAGAGGCAATCAAAAAGCTCCAGGAGGCACAGGCGGAGACTTCCCTACTGTTGCGAAGCGAGGTGGGTGCGACAACAGCGAAGACACCAAGCCATAGTCTACCGAGCGAAGTTAGGGATATTCTATCGGATCAGGGAGCCAAAATTGATTCCCTGACCAACGACTTAAAAGCTCTCCTGCATGAGCAGCGACAAAGCCCCCAGCAGCAGACACAGAAAAAACCAAAACCGCAACCGCAGAAGAAGCAACAGCAGCGACAACAACGAAGCCAGGATCAACCTCAACGGCAGAACAGCAGACACCAGCTACAACAGCAACCAAGTACAACGGAGCGGTCAGACGAGGGCCAAGCGACAACGGAAGGTGAAGGCACACCTTGGACGACGGTCAGTAGGAGAGGGAAACCAAGAGGCAAAATGAAGCCCTTAGATCTGGTCCGTAGCAGGGTACCGAAAGGTGCAGCAGTAACAATAAGCAGGCCGGCCGAAGGGGTGACGTATTCTGACATCATGCGGAAGGTCAAGGAAAATGTCCAGATAAACGACCTCGACCTAAAGCCAGAAGCCCGGGTCACAAAATCAGGCGGCATTCTCCTCAAGGTCAAAGACGACCAGGAGGCCGACCGGCTCATGGTCGCGCTTAACTCAGCCATCGGCCAGATGGCCAGTGTCAGAAAGCCATCCCGCACGACACCCATCCTCATCCTCGACTTGGCTGAATGGCACAGCTCGCAGGACGTAGAGGAAGCCGTAGTTGCAGCAGTACCAGAACTCGCTGGCATGAAGGTCGCAATTAGGGTTAACCCTGGCGGAGGTAGGGTCGGACGACTAGAAGCACCGCTCCCAGCAGCTGTTCGGCTAGCAGAGATGGGCAAACTCCACGTCGGTTGGAGTAGGTGTCGCGTAAAGCTACTAGAGGCCAAGGAGCCGACATGCTACCGCTGCCAAAAGCGCGGACATTTCGCAGCCAACTGCAGCGCCGAGGAGGCCAGGAAAAGATGCTTTCGCTGTAACAGTATAGATCACCTGGCCAGTGCGTGTACAGTCACCACCAGACGCCCGAACAAGAGCCCAGAGCGCGAAGCGAAAGGCCCAGGCAAACCCGAAGGGGAGGGGAGCACACTGCCTGCCGGCGGACCCCAGGCCAATGCTTAGGATCCTACAGGCCAACTTGAACCACTGCAAGGTGGCTCAAGACCTCCTCATGAAATTCATGCAGGAGGAAGCCATTGATGTGGCAATCCTCAGCGACCCCTACCGCATCTGTGATAATGGGTGTGACAGTCTAGCTGACACGGTTTTAGGAAGAGCAGCGATCCTTGTCCCTGGCAAGCAGGTAACAGTGTGCAACGTGATCCGGGACGCCGAGTTTGTGTCGGCAAGAGTTGGTGGGTATCAGATTTATAGTTGTTATGCCACCCCAAATCCAGCTACTCGTGACATGTTCGGCAGCCTACTTCGCAGGTTGGAGAATAGCGTCAGAACGGTTATGCGTGATACCCCGGTAGTGGTCGCGGGTGATTTTAATGCTCGATCTGCAGCTTGGGGCGACCGAGTGACGACCAGCCGTGGGGATGAACTCTGCGATCTGCTCGGAAGTCTCCAGCTGATTGTCCTGAATGAGGGCTCCACCCCCACCTTTACTAGAGGAGAAGGGTCAATAATTGACGTCACTGCAGTATCGGAAAGTGTCCGCTGCCTTACATGGAGCGTACTCGGTGACACATTTAACAACAGTGACCACAATTACATCAGATTCGATCTCGATAGTGGCACTGGCGTTCGACGTCAGAATCTGTGTTCCCCCGCGCGAGGTTGGGATGTGACCAAGGGTATTGACACGGAACTGTTAGAAGTTGGACTGCTGATTGCGGAATGGCTGTCCCCTGTGGAAGATCTCAACTGCCGGGACGCGGCCCACATTGCGGATTTCTTTGATTGCCATGTGAAGACAGCCTGCGATATAGTGCTACGACGAAAGAGCGCACCGAACATGGCGAGGAAACCCGTACACTGGTGGAACCCGGAGCTCTCGGTCCTCAGGAGTAACTGTGTATCCGCAAGAAGGTGCAAGACGCGTCTCGCCGCGCGGCACAAACACCTGCAGCAACAACTAGGGGTGACGAACCCAACGGCTGTTCAAGCGGTTCTCGATGTCGATGCCGCAGATGCTCAGTTGAGAATGTGTAAAAAGGCCCTCAAGACTGCTGTAGCTAGAAGCAAGAAAGCGTGCTGGGACGAATTAGTACAGTCGGTGGAGAGCGACCCTTTTGGGAAACCCTACAAGCTGGTGATGCGGAAATTGAGCGGTCCCCCAGCGACGGATAGGATGGAACTCGACACGCTCAGGTCAACGATCGAAACCCTGTTCCCTGCATGTCATCCCAACATCCATGGTACTGTACTGCCTCTAGAGCCGTTTGAAGCCTTCACCGCAGAAGAGGTAGCAGATGTTGTAACCCGCTTCGGTAGCAGAAGGACGGCCCCTGGGCCAGATGGCATAGCTAACCTCATTATCGGCTCCGTTCACAAGGTTCGCCCAGACATGCTCCTGCATATGTACAATAGGTGCCTGAAGGAAGGCGTTTTCCCTCCGCGCTGGAAAGAGGCTAGAGTAGTGCTGCTGCGCAAAGGGGACCGTCCCGAGGGTGTCCCGTCATCATACCGCCCGCTCTGTCTCCTCAATGATGTGGGGAAAATGTACGAAGCGCTGCTCGCTGCAAGACTCGACGCGCACATTGCAAGCAGAGGAGGGCTAGCCCCGAACCAATTCGGCTTCCGCAAAGGACGCTCAACGGATGACGCGGTTAGAGTACTCCAGAGTAAGGCAGTTACCACAACGAACAGCGGAGGATTCTGCGTAGCCGTCGCATTGGACATCAAGAATGCCTTTAACTCGATTGGCTGGGACCATATACTATCAGCATTAGAGGCATGGGCAGTACCGGAATATCTCATGAAAAATTGCAGATCATACCTCAGTGACCGGAAAGCGTTTATTGAGACGCCATTTGTCGCATCCGGAGCGTTGGACGTGCTGATTACCGGTGGCGTTCCCCAAGGGTCGGTGGTTGGGCCGCTGTTGTGGAACGCAGCATACAACAGCGTGCTCACCACAGTACTGCCAGCGGGTGCTGAGCTCATTGGTTTCGCCGATGACACCCTCGTTGTTGCCCACGGAAAAACTGCTTCCGAGGTCGAGAGGATCGCGAACGAAGCCTTAGATGTAGTGAGTGGCAAAATTGCAGGCCTTGGTCTCCTCATTGCGGTAGAGAAGACGCAAGCAGTTTTGTTCACCAACAAGTATAAATACACGCCGCCGAAGTTGACCATCAACGACGTGCCTATAACCTTCACCAACGACATGCTGTACCTGGGGATGGTGGTGGACAGAAGACTATCGTTCAGAGAACATGTGCAGCGAACAGCGAATAAGACGGCGGGCGTTGTCACGCGTCTATCGCGTATAATGCCAAACTTGGGCGGTCCCAAAGAATGCAGAAGGAGGCTACTGGTGGCGGTGGCGCACTCGGTATTGTTGTATGGTGCTCCCACGTGGGCGCACACCCTCGAGTGGTCCAAGATCAATGCGAATATACTCAACGGTGCCCAGCGTAGAGCCCTACTTCGTGGGATTTGTGCCTACCGCACAGTATCTATGACAGCGACGAACGTCCTGTCGGCTGTCCCCCCAGCTGACCTCATCGCACAAGAGCGCGAAATGGCCTTCAGAGCCAGGAGAGTCGCGGTGCCGAGGACCGGTAACGAGGTCACCCCACGGGCCATAATATTGAACGTTTGGGCCAGAAAGCTTGTGGAGCGTGAAGACGGAGTGTGGACCAGACGCCTGATTCCGAATGTTGTGCCATGGTGCAACCGCCGACACGGGCAGTTGGAGTTCCATATGACCCAAATAATGTCCGGCCATGGTTGCTTTGGTGTCTACCTCCACAAAATTGGTAAAGAAACCACTAAAAGATGTCACCACTGCGGTTCTCCGGAAGACGACGCAGCGCATACGCTATTTGTCTGCCCTGCCTGGGAGGTGGACAGGTTGATGATGACAAACGCCCTGGACGTCCGCCTCCACGCTGACAACTTTAGTGAAGTTGTCTTAAGTAATCCTGCTCACTGGGAAGCTGTGGCCACGTTCTGCAGAAAAGTGATGAAGACTAAAGAGGACGCAGAGCGGCAGAGACAGCAGCAGGCGGCTGAAGGTTGAACAACTTAATTAAGCTAAATTTTTGTGCACCGAAGGTGACCCGTAGAGGGATAGAGCCCTCTCTTTTTTGTAGAGCCAAGCTCAAAAATAAAATTTGTAAAATTGTAATATTGTTATATTGTAATGTTGTATTATTGATTATTGATTAATAAATGATGATGGCACCACGGAAGTAATGTCTCACGACGGTTCCCGTGGTGTTGTCGATGAAAAAAAAAAAGGTTAGGTTCCCCCCCGAAAAAGTGTTTCAGATGTCGGCAAACGGGACATTTAGCTGCCACATGTCCCGGGCCTCCATTTATAGGGCGCAAGGACAGCGAGCTAGAGGGTGGTGGACAGAACGAGTCCACAAGGCCCAGCTCAAATGATTAGCTTCCTGCAAGGAAACCTGAACCACTGCAGAGTGGCTCAGGACCTGCTCACTCAATATATGGTTGAGCAGGAGGTGGACGTCGCGCTATTAAGTGACCCACACAGGGTGGATTCAGGGTCAACAATGTGGCATAGTGACAATGGCACCCAGAGAGCGGCAATACTTATATCGGGCAACGGTATTACAGTTGGAAATATACAGAGGGATTTGGAGTTCGTGTCCGTACGTATCAACGGGGTGCAAGTATACAGTTGTTATGCATCCCCGAACAAGACGCAGGCAGAATTCAACAACTTCTTACAAAGGCTGGAGGACAGTGTCAGGGCCGTACCACCCGGAGTTCCCGTGCTTGTCACTGGTGACTTTAACGCCAGATCGGCAGATTGGGGTGACTGGGTTAGCAACCAACGAGGAGGAGAACTTAACGACCTGTTCCAATCGCTGGAACTTGTGATACTGAACACAGGCTCAACTCCAACGTTCAATCGAGGAGCGGGATCTATAGTTGACGTCACCACGGCGTCAAGCACACTGGCTCGAAGAATTGGACATTGGAGGGTAATGACCGATATCTACAATGGCAGTGATCACCACTACATCCAGTTCAGCATGGACTCGAACGAAGAAGGAAATCAACCAATAACCCGCACCAGCGAGCCAATCGGTTGGGATACCTCTGGTAGCATTAATCAGGACCTATTCAAAACCGGTCTCCTCGTCGCAGAATGGCTAGATCAAAGTCGACAACACATAGAGCAGGACGCTGACACAGAAGCAAGGAGACTTGGGGCAAAAATCGCAGCAGCCTGCGACTTCTCTATCCCCAGGCGGCGGGCTCATAGACCCGGGAAACCTCCAGTCCATTGGTGGAACCCCGAGATAGCCTCCCTTCGGGCCGACTGTACAAGGGCCAAACGATGCAACGTTAGGATGATATCCCGCATAACCCGCCTCAGACGCAACGCCGCGGCTGACTTTGACAACGAACGGGCCGATGCAGAACTGGCAAGGGCGAAAGAAGTTTTTCG